GAGACCGATGCGCTGGTCGTCATGAAGATCGGCCGCCACCTCCCAAACTGCGCCGTGCCATCGCAGCGGCGGGGCGCGAGGGGCAGGCCCGGCTGATCGAACATGCCGCACAGGCCGCCGAGCGGGTCCGCCCCGCTGGCCGAGGTCGAGGACGCGCCTGCCCCTATTTCGATCGCGCTGATCCATGTGGACAGGGGCGGCGACCGCGAGCGGCTGGGCTGATCGTCGCGGGCTGGGGCCGGGGCGGAGGACATGGTCACGCCCGAGGTGTCGGCGGCGCTGGCGGACGCGACCGATGTGGTCGGTTACATCCTGGCGTGTCGCGCGTCCCCGAGCGGCCGGGCCTGACCCGCCATGCCAGCGACAACCGGGTCGAGCGTGACCGGGCGCTCCATGCGCTGGAGATGGCCGAGGGCGGGGGGGCGTGGTCGTCGTCCTTCGGGCGATCCGGGGTGTTCGCGATGGCGGCGGCGATCTTCGAGCGGGTGGAGGAAGACCCTGCCCGCTGTACGATCTGGACGACCTGCGTCCTGCCCGGCATCACCGCGATGCTGGCGGCGAGCGCACGGGCGGGCGCACCCTCAATATGATTTCTGCGCGATCAACCTGTCGGACAACCTCAAGCCCGGAAGGCGTTGATCGAGCGTCGGCTGCGACTGGCGGCGGAGGCGGATTGCGATCGCGCTCTACAATCCCGGTCCGCGCGACCCGACGCGCTGGACGCGGCTTCGCCTTTGCTCCGCGAGACGTGCGGCGACGACCGCTCGGTGCTGTTCGCGCGCGCCGTTTCCACGCCGGAGGAGCATCTGCGCATCGTGCCTTTGCCGGAGGCGGGCGAGATGGCGGATATGCGCACGGTCGTCATCATCGGCTCCAGCCGCACCCGGATCGTGCCGCATGGCGGGAGGCCGATCCTCTACACCCCCCGGACGACGCCGTGATCCAGCCACTCCAGCACCTGCGACGCTGCCCACCTGCGGCCGGTCGGGGATGAAGGGGCGGTCGATCATCGACCGGCAGCGTCAGTTCGCGGGCCGCATCCAGCTTCGCCCGCGCCCGATCCGCCCGCATTCTTCGCGACGACCATCTGAATCCCGTGGTCACGGAGCACCGCCAGTTCGCCTTCGCGCGTAAAAGGTCCACGATCCACGACCCGGTGATGATGGGGCAAAGCGGGCGGCGTGGCGGCGTCGATGAAACGCAGCAGATAGAAATGCTGCGGCGCGCTTGCGAAATCGCCGATCGTCTGACGGCCGAGCGCGAGGAAGGCGCGGACGGTTCCTCACCCAGCGCCGAGATCGCCTGCACCGTATCGGCCACGCGAATCCAGCGGTCTGGACCCGCCGCCCATTCAGGCCGGTCAGCGCGAGCAGCGGTATCCGGGCTTGTGCCGCCGCCCCGATGGCGTTGGCGCTGATCCGCGCAGCGAAGGGATGGGTCGCATCGACCAGATGGGTCACGCCTTCTCGCCTCAGATAATCGGCGAGGCCCGACACCCCGCTGAAAAACCGCCGGTCCGCGTCAGGATCGCCTGCGCGCGCGGGCTTCGGTACGGCCCGCATAGCTCAGCACTGCCTGTTCGCCGCGTGCGGGCCAGCGCGGTGGCCAGCGCGGTGGCCTCGGTCGTGCCGCCGAGCAGAAGGATATGGCGCATGGCTGACTCCGGGCGTGGCTGACGATCGTCGGGATCGGCGAGGACGGCTGGGATGGCCCTGAGCACCCCTGCGCGTGCCGCGATCGAGGCCGCCGATAGCGTGATGGGCGCGCGCGTCACCTGTCGCTGCTCCCCAAGACGGGCCGAGCCGAGCGACTCGTCTGGCCGGTGCCCTTTGCCGACGGGGTGCCGATGATGATCGAACGGCGGGGGAGCGGGTGGTGATGCTCGCCTCGGGCGATCCCTTCTGGTTTGGGGCGGGTCGGTGGTGACCCGTCATCTGGCGCCGGGGGTGGGTGGCTATCCTGCGCCCTCTACCCTGTCGCTGGCGGCGGCGCGGCTGGGCTGGCCGGTCGAGACGATCCCAGCGTCGGGCTTCATGCGCGACCGCTGGAGACGTTGCGCCCGCATCTGGCACCCGGCCGCCGGATACTGGCGTTGATGCGCGACGGCGCTTCTGTGACGGGTCTGGCCGCATGGTTGTCCGAGCGGGGTTTCGGCGACAGTGCGCTGACCGTGCTGGAGGTTTTGGGCGGACCGCGCGAGCGTGTGCGACACGGCACGGCGGCGGCGCTCGACTGACCGATATCGCGCATCCCGTCGCGGTGGCGATCGAGCCTGCCGGGGAGGGTCGTGTCCTGCCGAGCGTGAGCGGGCTGGACGATGACTGGTTCGCGCATGATGGACAGATCACCAAGCGCCCCGTCCGCGCATTGGCGCTGTCGGCACTGGCCCCGCGACCAAACGAACTGCTCTGGGACATCGGCACCGGATCGGGCTCGGTCGCGATCGAATGGCTGCTCAGTGATCCAACGACCCACGCCATCGGTTTTGACGTGACTCCGACCGTCTGGCGCGCGCCGCCGACAATGCCGCGCGGCTGGGCGTGGCGCAGCTGGAACTGGTCGAGGGCGATGCGGTGGCCGAACTCGCCGACCGACCGCTCCCCGATGCGGTGTTCGTCGGGGAGATTGTCGCGCGCCCCGGTCGAGGCACTGCGGACCTTCCTCATTGTCGCCGGTGGCGCATGCCGTGACGCTGGAGACCGAGGCGTTGCTGGCGGAAATGCCATGCCCGATATGGGGGCGAGTTGCTGCGCATCGAACTCGCACGGGCCCGCCCTCGGCACCAAACGGGGGTGGAAGTCCAGCTATCCCATCGTGCAATGGCGGGTCGCATGGTGATCGCGGGTTTCGGATGCCGGGCGGGTGCGACGCGAATCGTTCCGCAGCGCGCTGGCGGCGGCGGGCGTCCGCCCGACCGTCTGGCCGTGCCGGAGGATCGCGCGGCGGTCATCGCCGGCTTTGCCGTGAGAGGATTATCCGTCCTGCCCATCGCGGCCGACCGCCTCTCGCGCATGGATACGCCGACCCGCTCCGACCTTAGTCTCATCCATCGCGGCGTCGGCAGCGTCATGCTGAAGCCGTCGCGCTTGCCGCCGGCCCGGGCGCACGGATCATCGTGCCCGCGTGATTTCCTCCGACCGCATGGCGACCTGCGCCATTGCCCAAGGACAATAAGATGACCGTTCATTTCATGGAGCCGGCCCCAGCGCGCCCGATCTCTGCTGACCCCCTGCGCGGGCGCGATCCGATCGCCGCATGCCCGGTGTGCCTTTATGCTGGGTCGCTGGTGCCCGGGCGGTGCTCGACCATTGCCCGCCCGGCGCGCGGATCGTGAACACCGCGCCGATGACGCTGGATGGATCATCGCCGGATCGCCGACGCCCATGCCAGGGGCAGGACGCGCGCATTCATTCCGGGCGACCTGTCGGTCTGGTCGGCGATGGGCGAGCAGGTGCGGCGCTTGCGCGGCCTCGGCATCCCCGTCTGCGGTGACGCCGTGCCGTCGTTGCAGCCGCAGCGGCGGTACTGGAAAGCGAGCTGACCCTGCCCGGCACGCCCAGTCGGTGGTGCTGGCCCGCGCGCCCGGCCGCGCCAGCGCATGCGAGGGAAGTCGCTGACCGCCTTGCCGCGACAGGGGCGACGCTGGCCATCATCTGTCGATCCACAATCTGGCCAGGTCGTCGTCGACTGACCCCGCATTATGGGCGCGGACTGTCGGTCGCGATCGTCTGGCGCGCGAGCTGGCCGAACAGCGGATCGTCCGCGCGACCCTGTCCACCATCGAGGCGGCAGCTGCCGACGGGCCTGGCGGACCGCGCTGATCTGGTTGGCCGTGTCCTCGACCAGAGCGATTTCGCTGAAAGTCGCTTGTACGCCGAGGGCTATGACCGCCGCTATCGTCCCGGGAACACGATCGAATGACCGATTGATGATCGCGCCCGCTTCGGGCACCGGCAAGACGACGGTGATGCTGGGCTGCTCCGGTGCCTTTCGCGATGCGGGCGTGGGCGTACAGCCGTTCAAGAGCGGCCCCTGACTATATCGACCCCGCCTTTCACCGCGCGGCGTGCGGGCGCGCGTCGTTCAACCTCGACGGCTGGGCGATGCCCGCCGCGCTGCTCGATACGTTGGGGCGGCGCAGGGCGGACGCGGAGCTCGTGCTGGCGGAAGGCTCGATAGGGGTTGTTCGACGGTGTCGCCCGGCCCGGCGCGACCGGCATGGGCAGCAGCGCGGAGACGGCCAAGCGCATGGGCTGGCCGGCGATCCTCGTCATCGACGTATCAGGACAGGCGCAGTCGGCGGCGGCGACCGCGCTGGGCTTTGCGCGCTACGACCCTGATTTGCGGGTGGCGGCGTCATCCTCAACCGCGGCGAGCCCGCGTCACGAGCGGCTGGCCAAGCTCGGCTTCGAGGAGATCAGCCTGCCGGTGTTCGGCGCGCGCCCGGCGCGGCGACCTCGTTTGCCTGAACGGCATCTGGGGCTGGTGCAGGCGGTGGAGCATCCGAACGATCGGTTGATCGGTGACTATGCGGCCTTCGGCGGCGCATGTCGATCTGGGAGGGCGATCGCGGCCCGCCTATTCAAGCCCTAGCCATTGGCGATGCGATCCTGCCGCCACCCCGGCACAGCGGATCGCGCTGGCGCAGATGCGGCCTTCTCCTTCGTCTATCCGCATATGCTGGAGGGCTGGCGCGCTGCGGGGGCGAGTGCCCTTTTTCCCGCTCGCCGACGAAGCGCCGGATGCGTCAACCGATCTGGTCTGGCTGCCCGGCGGCTATCCCGACTTCATGCCGGACGGCTGGCGGCGGCGGAAACGTTCCGCACAGGGCTGGCCGACCATGCCCGGACAAGCGGTTCATGGCGAATGCGGTGGCTATGGCGCTGCCGGCGAGGCGTTGGTCGATGCCGAGGGGAGCCAGTCACCCGTAGCCGGATTACTCGCCTCGTGACCAGCTATGCCAAGCGCAAGATGCATCTGGGCTATCGCCGCGACGCTGCTCAACGAGGTGGCAGGGATGCCGAAGGTGCGGTGCTGGGCGGGCATGAGTTCCATTCGACCGTGCTCGAACAGCCTGATACCCGCCTGCGCATGTCGTCGATGCGCAAGGCGAGGCCGTGCCCGGAGTCGCGACGCGGGCAGGTGACCGGCACCTTCTTCCATCTGGTGGCGCGCTGGTGGTGAGCGGTTCGTTTCTCTTGTCGGTGCGGGGCCGGGCGATCCCGAGAGCTGACGCTGAAGGCGGTGCGCTGCCTTGCCGAAGCCGATGTCGTATTGTTCGACGACCTCGCCGCCGGGCCGATGCTGTCGCACGCACGATCTGACGCGCCGAGTTGGTCGCCGGTCGGCAAGCGGGCGGGGCGCCTCGCCCAAACAGGCGGAGATCCGACCGGCTGTTGGTCGATCATGCACTTAGCGCGCGCGTCGTCCGGTTGAAAGTCGGGCGACCCTGGCATCTTTCGGGCGGCTGGAGGAAATCGTTGCGCTAAAGGCGGCAGGCATTCCTTCGAGATCGTCCCCGGCGTCAGCGCGGCGAGCGCGGCGGCGGCGGCGGCAGGCTTGCCTTAACCCGACGGGCCGAGGCGCGCAGGTGCAGTTCGTGACAGGGCATGACGACGGGGCGCTACCCGCCGATCGTAAATACGGGCCGCCGCCGCCGATGCGGGCGCGACGACGGTGGTATTCTGGCGCCTGCGGACCTTTCCGGCGCTGGCCGAAGCCTTGGTCGCGCGCTGGTCTGTCGCCCGAAACGCCCGCGCTGATGGCCGAGCATGTCCGGTGTCCTGACCAGCGGCTGACCCGCCTGACCGTGGCGGGTCTTGCAGCAACTGGCGGAGGGGTGTCGGACAAGGCGGCGCTGATCCTCTACGGCCCATGGATGGAGGATCTGGCAGTCCAACCTCCGATCTGATCGGCATCGGCACGGGCAATCCTGATCACCTGACCCGCGCCGCCAGCCGCGATGCGCTTGGCCGACCTGATCCTGCTGCCGCGCAAGGCGGACAAAGGCCTGTTGATCGACCTGCGCCGCGACATTTGCGCGCAGGTGTTGGCGGGCGCGCCAACGCAGGTGGTGGAGTTCGACCTGCCGGTTCGCGCGAGCGAAGGCATATCTCGATACCGTCGAGCATTGGCATGACGCGATTGCCAGATGCTGGGGCGGCGGAGATCCTGCGTGTTCTGCCGGATGGCAGGCGTGTAGCGTTGCTGGTCTGGGCGATCCGTTTTACGACAGCACCATCCGCATCGCCCGGCGGCTGATCGCGGTGGAGCGCATTTCGGTGGTGCCGGGGATCACCAGCCTTCAGGCGCTGTGCGCGGCATGCAATTCCCTTCAATGCGGTCGGCGCCGGTGGTGGTCACGACCGGGCGATTACCGGCGCGAGGGTGGCTGGCCGGACGGCGTGGACAGCGTCGCGGTGATGCTGGACGGTGGATGTGCGTTCACGACGCTGACCAGCCTGATGCGGCGGCCATCTGGTGGGGCGTCATCTCGGTATGGCGCAGCAGGCGATCGAGGCCGGGCGATTGGCGGATGTCGCCGAGCGGATCGTCGTGCGCCGCGCGAACTACGCCGCACGCATGGCTGGATCATGGCGGTGCATCTGCTCCGGCGTGGTAGCGATCTGGTGGGGAAGGGTTTGACGCGATGCCCCCCATGATCTTCCTCCCCTGCAGTGGAGGTGAAACCGAGGCCTGACGGAGTGTGTAACCCTCTCGAAAGCAGGACACCCTCCGACGCGCTACGCGCGCCACCTCCCCAAAGGGGAAATGGGGCTAGGGAATTCGATGCCCTTCTGCGCCTTTACGCCCCTGTTCGCGGGAAGGGGTGCTTCACCTGCGTCATATCGGTGACGAGGTCGGCTGCCCGATCAATGCCTGGGCGCGTTCCCCGCCCCGTGATGACGACACGGGTCATCGCGTCTTTGGTGCCGAGCACCCCAATACCTCGTCGGCCGGCAGATAGTCGTAACGCAGGACGATGTTCAGCCTGCCCGCGACGATCAAACTGTAGGAGGGATCGCGATCATCCGTTGGCCTCGTCCCACGCGGTGCGCGCAGGCGATGTCGCGCTGCGGTCCCGCGTATTCCGTAAAGCCCAACGCCCATGGCGGAAATCGACCTCGGGAAAACGCGCCAGCACCGCGGCCTCGCCGGTGGTCATCGCGCCTTCACGAACTGGACCATGCTGACGCGCATCCCGTGCCTGACCGCGCGGATCACCATGCCCAGCGCGGCGGTCGTCTTGCCCCTTGCCCGCGCCAGTATGGACGATGATCAGGCCCTTTTCGGCATCGCGCGCGGCGACCCTTGCTATCCTGCGCGACCTTCTTCTTAGCCATGCGCTCGGCGCGTTCGGCGTCGGTTCGCATCATTTCTCCTGAAAGCCGCAAGGCCCCCACCACCAGATCGGTCGCATCGCACGTCTGCGCCAGTCGCTGGTTCAGCGTGCCCTGCGCACGCGAAAGCGGCGGGCGAGCGCGTTGTCTGAGGACGATGCGAAGCCGACCTCGTTGCTGACCAACCACGACCGGACCGGGCGCGTCCGTTATCGCAGCGGCCAGCGCATTGCCCCGCCGTTGCAAGATCTTCTTCGGCAAGCAACTATTGGTCAGCCACAGCGTCAGGCAGTCGACCAGCAATCACCCGGTCGGCGCGGCTATGTACCCGGCAATCACTCGGCAGGCCAAAGGCGCCTCCACTGTGGTCCAGCGCGCATCCCGATCCGCGACATGGCGCGCGATCCGCTCGCGCATCTCGTCGTCCAGGCTTGCGCGGTCGCGATGAAGCAGCTTTGCGGCGTCATCGCCTCGGCCAGCGCGACTGCGCGTGGCGGCTCTTGCCCGACCGGGCGCGCCGAGCAGACGAGGATGGTGCGGGGCTTGTTTCATGCCAGCCCGCATCGCGGGAGCCGGCCGATGACGGGCGGAAAATGGCCGCGCTGACCCCATCGCGGCGGCGGATCGATGCCGCCGAGGCGCTGTTTTCCGGAGTGTGGCCGGGCCGTGGTTGGACCTGTCGACCGGGATCAATCCGGTGGCATGGTGCCCGTCAGAGGGGCTGGACGTCGATGCCGGACCTCTGCCCGACCGCAGCACGCTTGCCCGGTTGGAAACGCTGGCGGCGGTCCATTTTCGGCGTCGAGGCCGAGCGGGTGGCGGCGGTGCCGGGCAGCGAGATGGCACTGCGCCTTCTCCCCTGCTCGGTTTGGGCCAGCTGATCGTCGCGGTGCAGCCTGCTTCGGCACGCATGGCGCCGGTGGCGTCGGCGCGGATCGATCATTCCGCGCTCGACCCTTTGGCGAGGGGAGGGAGGGAGCCTGTTGCTCGCCAATCCCAACAACCCTGATGGCCGCTATCATGCCGCGAGACGCTGGAGCGACCAGCCGGTGCAAAGCGGCGGCGGGCGGTTGGCTGATCTCGACAAAACCTTTACCGATGCCATACTGATCCGGTTTCAGGGGGCGAGCGGGTCGTCCGATTGCGGTCCTTCGGCAAGTTCTTCGGGCTGGCGGGGGTGCGGCTGGGGTTCGTGATCGCCGCGCTGGCCATTCTGTCGCGCCTTCGCGATCTGCTGGGCGACTGGCCGGTATCGACTCATGCGACGTTCAGGGGAAGTGCCGCCTATGCCGATCGCCAATGGATCGCGACGACGCGTATCGCACTGGTCGAACGGGCCGCGGCATTGATGCGGTGCTCGCGCGCCATGGCCTGATCGCGCAAGGCGCTTGCTCCTTTATCCGCATGGTCGAGACGCCCGGAGGCGCTGGTGATCTTCGCCCGGCTGGCGCGGTGGGTATCCCGTCCGTCGCCGCCGACGCGCCTGAGCGGTTGCGCTTCGGCGTTCCGGCCGAGGCGGCGGAGCCGGGAGCCGGTTGGACGAGGCGCTCCGTCATGATTGATCCCGTCATGCGCTGGCCTTGGCGCTGGATGCCGTGATCGGCTGGCCGGACCGGCTCTATGGCTGGGTCGGGCATCCTGTCGGGCGCCTTTGCCCGGTTCCGGGAATTCGCCGAGCGGTGGGGCAATCGGCCGCGCTATCGAGCCGTTGCGCCGGGTGCTGGGCATCGTCACCATTCTCCTACTGATCGCGTTGACCGGGGCGGCAACATGGTATGGATCGGGAATCGCATCTGGTGTTCTGACCGCTGGGGCTGGGATCGCGAGCGGAGTTCTGGCCAGCCGGTTCTTTGGCGCAGCGCAGCCTTTACGTTCATGTCCGCCCGTGGCGAATGCGCTGATGCGGGGTGATCTGCCCGCCCGCACGCTGGTGGCGCGCGGTGGGACGCGATACGGAGCGGCTCGATCAGGCTGGCGTCTGCGCGGGCGACGAGACGCTGGCCGAGAGCTTCTGCGGCAACATCGTCGCCCCCGCTCTTCTGGGCTGCTGTTCGGGCTGCCGGGGATATGGGTCTATAAGGCGATCAACACCGCCGACAGCATGATCGGGCATAAGGAGCCGCGCTGGCACGCCTTTGGCTGGGCGGCGGCGCGGATCGATGACGGGCGAACTGGATACCCGCGCGGATCGCAGGGGTGCTGGTGTGCGTGGCGGGGCGAGAGTGGCTGGCGGTGATGCGGCGATGCGCGGTCCATGCCTCGCCCAATGCGGGCTGGCCCGAAGCGGCGATAGCGGGCGCGCTGGGCGTCGCGCTGGCGGGCCGGTCGCCAGCGACGGCGTGACCCATATGAAGCCGTGGATCGGGCGTGAGGGGCGCGCAGCAGCCTGGAAGGACATCCTCACCGCGCTGCAAACGGCGCGCGCCTGCCCGCTGCTCTGGGTCATTGGTGGGGTGTCGCATGGCTGGCGTGATGATTCAGGGCACCGGCCCACGTCGGCAAGTCGGTGCTGGTCGCGGGGCTGTGTCGGGCCTTTGCCAATCGGTGGGGCTGCGCGTCCGCCCCTTCAAGCCGCAGAATATGAGCAACAACGCCGCCGCCACCCCTGATGGCGGCGAGATCGGGCGGGCGCAGGCAACCCAAAGCGATGGCGGCGCGGGTCGAACCCCATGTCGATATGAACCCGGTGTTGCTGGAAGCCTGTGGCGATCGTACCTCGCGGTAAACTGATTGTGCGCGGGCAGGTGCGGGGGATGCTGCCGGCGGCGAAGTGGCGCGAAGGGCGGATCGGGCTGCTGCGAAGTGGTCGAATGCTATCGCCGATTGGAGGCGGAGTGCGACCTCGTGATCGTCGAGGGGCGCAGGGTCGCCTGCCGAGGTGGATCTGCAGCGGCGATCGCCAATATGGGCTTGCGCGCGCGGCGTGCCGGTGGTGCTGGCGGGGATTGTCGATCGCGGCGGCGTGATCGCCTCGCCTGTCGGCACCAAGGCGGTGATCGACCCCGAGGATGCGGCGATGATCCAGGGCTTTCTGGCCAACTAAGTTTGCGGCGATCCCGCGCTGTTCGCCGATGGCATGGCGATCACGGCGCATACCGGCTGGCACTCGCTGGGGCTGATCCCGTGGCTGAGCGAGGCGCACCGCCTGCCGAGCGAGGATGCGGTGGCGCTGGAGCGTCCTGCCGCCGGGGCGGTGGGCGGCTGGTCATTGCCTGCCCCGATCACGCCGCGCATCGCCAATTTCGACGATCTCGATCCGCTAAGGCTCGAAACCCCAGATCGACTGGTCATGGTCCGCCCCGCCAGCCAATCCCGAGGCGGCGATGATCATTTGGCGGGATCAAGGCGACGATCGCCGACCTCGCGTTCCTGCGCGCGCAGGGGCTGGAGATCGATATCGCCGCGCATCATCGGCGGCGCCGGTGCCAGGGCTGGTGGCGGCACCAGATGCTCGGTCGGAGCGTGGCGGATCCGGACGGGATCGAGGCCCGGCGGCAGCGTCCCAGGGGCTGGGTCTCCTCGATGTCGAGACGGTGCTGACCGGGAGAAGATGGTGCGGCCGGTGACGGTGAGGAGGCGCTGGGCGCGGGCTTTGCCGCTATGAAATCCATCTCTGGCTGACCGAGGGCCCGACACCGCACGCCCGGTCGGACATCGCCGATGGCCGGGCGGAGGGGCGATGAGCGCCGATGGGCTTGTCGCGAGTAAAGCTATATCCATGGCCTGTTATTGGGGCAGGCAGACGGGCAGCGAGCGGGCATGGCTGGCGGATCGGTGTGTCGCGAAAGGCCCCGATCATCATGTCGATGTCGACGCCGCACTCGACGCCATAGCCGCCGTGCTGGAGGCGCATGTCGGTGCGACGCGCTGCTGCAAATCGCTCAGGCGCGAGATAGAGGAGGGTGGCGACGAGCAACCTGGTTTCAGTCAGCTCGATTCCCGCGCCATGCACGTCGCCCGTCATACCGCCCAGCTTGCGGCGGAACCACAAAAGCAGGCTGACGATCAGCAGCAGGGCGATGGCAGAAGCGGCAAGCAGAAAGCAGGGCCAGCACGAGCACGGGTGATGATCCAGCCGATACGTCGAACGGCCGCACCGCGCGCGACACCATCGCGCCCAGCCCGCCGGGCCGCAGCGGCGGCAGGACTCGAGCCCAGACCAGTGGTCGATCCGCGCCGCCGCCGGGATCAAACGACGATCGGCAGGCCCCGGCGGCAGGCCGATGGAGCACCACCAGGTTGGCGAGAAGCTGCATCACCAACGCCACGACGCCGAAACTGCTGATCACCGGTCGGCCATCACCGACAACAGCCGCGACCTGTCGCCATGCGCCGCGCCCAGCCTGGGTCGCTCCAGGTCCGCAAGGCCGTCGTCAATGCAACGCTCCTGTGGTCCAGACCCGGGCGCAAGCGCATAACGCCAACGAGGATCGACCAGCGCGGCCAGCCAGCCGGCGCCCGCCACGACTGCGTTGACTGCCAGCCCCGCGACGGATAAGGCGGATCGCCCGGGCGAAGTCGGCTTCATCGGCGGCGACCAGGCATCGGCAGCCAGGTCAGAAAGAAAGGGCGACGATCAGCGCCTTCCGGCCAACCTGACGACTTGCGCGGTCCGTGGCTCGCCTCCTCCACGTCGAGCGTCAGCAGCGCGGCATAGGGCAAGGCGAAGGCCAGAGCGAACGCCGGTCGAACCCACACAGGCCATGCAAAGCCGCCCGCATCGCGCCGCCATGGGTGACGATCAGCGTGGGCTCTGGTTGCCAAGTCTGCCATCGCCGCCGTGACGCGCGACAAGCTGCGACCAGCGCTCCCCACCGGGCGGCGGGCGCGATCCGGATCGTCCCAAAGGCCGATAGCGCGGCCGGGTCGATCGCGTCGGCCGCTTGCCCGTCCCAGTCGCCGAAATCCAGCTCGCGCCAGCGCGGGTCGATCGCGAAATGGTCCCATCGCCTCGGCACAGGGTGCGCGCGCGACAGGTCGGAGGCGATGCGGTGGGTGACGCTCAGGTCCTTCGCTCGGCGACGCAGGCCGCGATGCCGTCCGCCGTCACCGGGCTGTCGGTCCGCCCAGCATCCGACCGCTCAGTACGGGCGCGCCATGGCGCAGCAGGTACAGGCGGAAGCGCGCGGTCACGCTGGCGACACCCGCTAAAGCAAAGGTCGCCATGCTGTCATGCGCTGCGATCGCCGCGCGGATGACCTGCACCGCGACCGCCGCCGCGCCTCGCCCAACCGCATGTCGAGCGACAGGATCGGCTTCAGCCCCGTGCGGCCCAGCAGCCGGACATGCCCCGGCTCTGCTGAGCAATGGCCCGCTGTGCAGTGGGCGGTGATCCCTGATTGACGAGCGCGAGCGGTGCCACGGCGGCGGTGCTGATAAAGCCGTCGAGCACGACCGGAACGCCTTCATCCGCGCGGCGAGCACCGCGCCGGCCATCGCGGCGATCTCCGCCTGCCCAGCCGACGCAGCACCTCGAACGCGCTGTTAAAATGCCGGTGGTGGAGGGCGGGGCCGTCGGTCACTGCCGTGGCCTTGCGCGCCAGCCCTCCCTGTTCGACGCCGGTACCGGGGCCGACCCAGTCGGCGGCGTTCCCGCCGAAACTGGCGGCGGCGAGTGCGGCGGCGGCGGGGGTGGTGTTGCTTGATCCCCATCTCACCGAGCACCAGCAGGTCGGCATCGCTGACCGTTGCCGCACCCGTCGAGAGCGCCGCCAGACAGTCCTCGACGCTCATCGCCGGGCCGGTGGTGAAATCCGCGGTCGGCCGATCGAGATCGAGCGGTACGACCGTCGTTCTAGGCCCTGGCGGCCGCCGCCAACTGGTTGATCGCGGCACTGCCGGCGGCGAAATTGGCGACCATCTGCGCGGTCACGTCCGCAGGAAAGGCGCTGACCCCTCGTGCGACGACTCCGTGATTGCCGGCGAAGATGACCGCGCGACCCCGCTCGATCGGGGACGCGCCCGGCCCTGCCAGCCGGCCAGAAAGACCGCGATCTCCTCCAGCCGGCCGAGCTGATCCCGGCGGTTTGGTCAATGCCCTGCCGCGAGAGCGGCGTCGCGGGCCTGCGCATCGGGCGTGGTCAGCGCCGCCAGCGCGGTCTCAAAGGCGGCGATGGTCGGAAAAGCGCTCATTCGACGACGAAGCCTTCTGGCGGCGTGCGAGTCAAGAAATGGCCTTTCACCCCTTGCGGCCATTGCTTTCAGGGCACCGCCCCAGTCGCTGGCGGCATAGGCCCGGGCATAGTCCAGATCGCGCGGGCGGCATCGTCATCGGGCGCGAACTTGCCCATCACGTAACCGACTGCCCGGGCAGCGCAGATGGACGTGCAGAAGGACTGGCAGGCAAAGAGACAGGGCATCTCCTCCACCGCGACATCGGCAGACAGGCAGGGTCGGACGCCCGACGCGGCGCAAAGCCTCGACCAACAGCGCGCCGCCACGCTTGCCCTCTTCGTTCTCGCGGACCTCGTCCGACAGGCGACAGGTGCTGCAGGCGACCACGGCGGGGCCGGGGGCGGCGGGTTTCAGCACGGGTAAGGCTCAGTCATCGACATATCTCCACGGGCGACGCCCCTGGCGGACCGGGCGCGCCGGCGCTGTCGTCGCGCTGAGGGATATCCCCTGTCCGTCCGGCACACCCTGACTGGTCGAAAGACGACCCGCGACGGGCAGGTCTCCGCCTGCGGGTCGGGGCCGGTCCGCCATATTCTCGGGTTTTGACCCCAATGGCGTGATGGCGGATGGCTCGCCGCTTACAGTTGCAGGGGCAGCTGGGCGTTCCACCCCATTCCTTTTCATCCCCGTGAGAGGGAACCCGTCGCGGAGGGAGCGATAGGCGCGGGCGGGGCGGTGGCAACACTGCTATTCCCTCCCCGGAAGGGGAGGGTGGCAGCGCGCAGCGCTGACGGAGGGTGTCGCGGCTGGCCGTATCGCGACACGGGGCGAAGTTACACTCGACGCGCCATGCGCGCCACCTTCCCTCCCGGAGGAATGAGATGCTATTCCCCGCGCAGCGCCTTCAGGAAAGGATATTGCCGCCGCATCGCATAAGGCACCGGCCCGGTCGTGCGTCCGCCGTGTATGCTCGCCGCCGGGGATGACCAACAGGTCGAAATCCTTGTCCGCTTTGATGAGCGCATCGACCACCTGCGTCGTGCTGGCGGGATCGACATTCGAATCCTGTTCGCCGACGACCAGCATCAGCTTGCCCTGCAACTGCCCTGGCATGGACCACGCCGGAGGCGTCGAGATAGCTCTTATCGACCGGATAGCCGAGCCACTGTTCGTTCCAGTCGATCTTGTCCATCCGGGTTGTCGAAACACCCGGCATAGGCGACCGGCCTTATAGAATTCGGAGGTGGAAGAGCAGCGCGTTCAGCGTGCTCTGCTTTCCGCCCGCCGAGCCGCCATAGATGCCGACTCGGGTGATATCGACCGCAGGGTCCTTGGCGTTCAGCGCCTTCATCCAGCGATCCGATCCGAAGCCGCTGTCCGCCGTTCTTCCGTGCGACGTCGTGAAAGGCCTTGGAGCGGTTGGCGGTAACCCATGCGCCGTCGATCATCACCACGATGAAGCCCAGATCGGCAATCTGTTGCATCCCCATGACCTTGTCGCCACCGGAGAAGGCACCGAACGGCCAGAAGGTCTTGGGCACGAAACTGTCGTGCGGGCCCGGCATAGATGTTCTCGATCACCGGATAGCGCTTGGCGGGGTCGTAATCGCGCGGGCGGACGACCAGCCGTAGATATCGGTCTTCCTGTCGCGACCCTTGGCGGTGAAGCGTTCTGGGCGGGCGGAAGCTGGCGGCGGTCAGCGCAGTGATGTCGCCCTTTCCAGCGTCTGGATCAGGCGCCCGTCACGCGCATCGTGCATTTCCATCGTTTCGCAGGTCGGTACGCGAATAGACATCGACATAGGTCGTCATGTCGGGGGCGAAGCGCACCTCATGCGTCGCATTTCCTTTCGTCAGCCGGGTCGATTGCGGCCGTCGAAATCGACCCGGAACCACTGCTTGTAATAGGGTCTTCACCGCACGAAGCCGCTGGCCGAGAACCAGATTTGCCGCTTGTCATCATCGATCTTGGCAATGTCGCGGACGATCCAGTTACCCTGGTGATCTGGCGAATCACGCGTCCGGTCGCGCCATCGATCAGATAGAGATGCCGCCAGCCGTCGCGTTCCGAGGTCCAGAGGATTTCGCGGCCCAGCCCTTCACGTCATGCGACCAGATCTGGTCGCGGAAGACGAAGGTCTTCGCGGTTTCCGTCACGGCGGCATGGGCCCGCCGGTGTCTGCATCGACCGCGATGATCCTTGCTCGCCGAAACCGCGCTTCAGATCGTTGAAGGCGGCTTTTGCTGTCGGTACGCCATTCCGGGCGGACAGGGTATAGGCGCTCGCGAACAGGCTGGGGTCGATCTCGGTCCGCTGGCCGTCGGCGGTGCGGAAGAGGACGGGCGCCTCGTCCACCGCATCGCCTGGCTTGGGATAGAGTTGCTGGACGACCTCGGCTGGACCTTGCCCGGGGGGCGGCGAGAACGCGGGTGACCATGCGGGCATAGCTGGGGCGGACCCGCTGAAGCGCGATATGCCGGCGTCCGGGCTCCAGCGATGGTTTCGGTGTCATAGAAATTGGCGGCTGCTGTCCGGGCTACGCTACAATTCCTGCCGCCATTCGCCCGCGCACGACGAGGTTATCGTCGAGGACCAGCGCCTCCAGCCGGCCATCGGGCGAGCGGATGGGGATGATTGTCCGCGGGCACGCGCAGGTCGCGGACACGCCGAAACCGCGTGGGCGGCTGGGGTTCTTGGGCGGCATGATCGCGCAGACGGCTGGACGAGCGTGCAGCGATAGACGGTGTCGTCACAGCCGATCGAGAAGCGGATCGCCGAACGGTCGGCCGTATAGCTGAAATGCTCGAAGGGCAGGCGCAGCGGGGCGATCGGTGTGCCCATGATCTTGGTGAGCGCGGGCGCCAGCGCAGTGGCGTCGAACGCGGGGCCTTTGGCATGGTGGTGGCATCCACATTGACAAAGGCGAAGCCGCCCCCGACGGTCTTGCGATAATGAAATGCCGCCCATCCTCATCCCATTCGGCGGGCGATGCGATGTCACGGGTCAGCCATTGCCACTGGTCGCGCAAGGCCAGCGATCAAGGAGGCGGTCGGGCACGCCTTGCGCCGCAACGGGGGGCAGCGGAGAGGAACAGCGAAAGAGTCAGCAGGGTCTTCAACGGGACGCTCCGATGGTGAAGCTATAGGTGAGCGGCTGGAGCGCGATGCGGTACGGCATGTGCGCCCGGCCATCGAGGTTCCAGCCGGTATCGCCGCCGACCCCGGCCCGGGCGGCATCGATCAGCGTGCCGTCGCCATGCGGGCGGATGTCCGAGCTATGGGCTTGCGCGGGCGGCTTCATCGCGAGATCGGCATAGGGAAGGGCAGCGCGTTGACCGAGAGCGGCTGCGCGCCCGTCACGCGCAGCCCGACGCCGGTGCCGGTCAGCTCCAGCCAGCGCACATCGGTCTTGTTCCCCGATTCCTGCGGCCGGGCATAGTCGTGATACTGGTCGGCGAGCTTGCCCTGCCAGCGGGCGATCAGCGCACCGGTTTGGCGATCGGCATAGCTTTCCCCACGGGCCGCGTCCGAACCAACTCAATTGTGTGAACTGCTGTCCCGGTGTCGCGAAGGCGAGGCCGACACGCAAGGGATCGGGCAGGGTCGCGCGCAGCGGCGTGAACCGGACCGTCGCGGTCGCCGCCCCATCGGGTGCCATGGTCCAGCGGGTCTCCATCTTGACCGAGCTGACGCCCATGTCGTGATCGACGACGACCGCGTTGCCGTCGCGGTGCATATTGTCCAGCGGCGATGCTCGGAGAAATATTGCCACATCGCATGGCTTTTTGGGCACGCCCGCGCCGATATCGTTGTCGGTCGGCCACGGGTGAAGTTCGGGGTGCCGCCGGTCAGCAGCGTCTTGCCGTCGCGGGCATAGCGGCGGACGAGCCCGGTCGCCCGGTCGATCCCCAGCACCGCATTGCCGGCTTTCAGCGTCATCGCGTCGGCGCTTTCCTCAGGCGCGACCGATCCGTTGGGGGCGGCGGCGAAGACCGGAGCGGAGAGCGCGAACTGGTCCCAGCCGACGACATGCCCCGCCGGCAGCGGCGGATCGCGCCCTCCTGATCCGCGCGCGCAGGATCAGCGAGCGTTCGGCCATCGGGTCCTGGCTGGTGGCAGGTGAAGGCGATCGGCGCGCTCGCCTGGCCGCTGGCGACGGCGTGGCGATGCTGCCGTGCGCGGTCTCGACGCGTTTTCCAGCACCGTCCAGTCCAGCGTGAAGCGCGACAGGTCGATATGGTCGTGGCGGCTGACCACCTGCCAGCCGCCGCCCTCATGGGTGAAGGCGATCGGCGACTGGACATGCGCCATCTCGTAATATTCGGGATCGGGGGTGCGATCCGACGATCAGTCACCGACCGGGACTGTCGTCGCCGTGCAGTCCCGCATCCTTGGGGTCGGATCATAGTCGAGGCCCTGTCCCCAATAGGGGCGGCCATCCTTGTCCTTCAGGATCATCGTCTGGTCGACCCAGTCCCAGACAAAGCCGCCCCGAGCTTGGGATATTTGCGGAAGGTGTCCCAATAGCCCCGGAAGTCGCCTGAGCTGTTGCCCATCGCATGGGCATATTCGCACAGGATCAGCGGCTGGTGAATTCAGGGGCGCTGGGCATAGTCGGCCAGCTTTTCGACATCGTCATACATGGGCGCGAAGATGTCGACGTAAGAGCTGGTCGGTGCCGCCAGCCGCCTCATGCTATAGCCGAGGAAGTTGATCAGCCGCGTCTTGTCATGCGCGCGAACCCATTTCGCCGCCGCCTCGAAATTGGGGCCGACGCCGCTCTCATTGCCCAGCGACCAGAAGATGATCGAGGGATGGTTGCGGTCGCGCTCGACCATGCGCTGCACCCGGTCGAGATGCGCGCGGCCCATTCAGGCTTGTGGCCGTGTTCAGCGTCGGTCGTTCTTCTCTGGGGTGAGGCTTAAATAGCCATGGCTCTCGATATTGGCCTCGTCCATCACGTACAGGCCGTACTCGTCGGCCAGATCATACCAGCGCGGGTCGTTGGGATAGTGCGGTGCGGACCGCGTTGATATTGGCGGCCTTCATCAGCTCGATATCCTTGCGCATCGTCGCCTCGGATACGATGCGGAAACTATGCGGGTCATGCTCATGTCGGTTGACGCCGCGGATCATGATCCGCTTGCCGTTCACCGGACCTCGCCGCCCGCTACTTCGACGGTGCGGAAGCCGATGCGGCGGCTGGTCGCTTCGATCAGCGTGCCGTGATCGTCGAGCAATTCGACCAGCAGCGTGTAGAGGTTCGGGTCCTCGGCGCTCCACGTCTTCACGGCCGGTACCTCGGCGGTGATCGTCGCGGTGGTACCGGTAGGTGTCGTGGTCCGGGTCAAAACGGTGCGCTTGCCGTCGAGCAGGGTGGCCCGGACGCTCGTGGCCTTCGCCGCACCGGCCAGATCGACCTGCGCCGACAGCTTCCCGTCGCGATAGTCATGGGTCAGCCCGGCATCGATCTTCAGGTCACGGATATGCGTCTGCG